GTTAATACCCAAAATTTATGAAGTACTTACAAAACTCAACACCAAAAAACAAATGACCCAATTTAAAAATGAGCAAAGGACCTAAAGAGACACTTCTCCGAGGAGGACATACAGATGGCTAACAAGCATATGGAAAGATGCTCAGCATCACTAATCATCAGAGAAATGAAAATTAAAACTACAGTGAGATATCATCTCACACCTGTCAGAATGGTAATCATCAACAGATCAACAAGCAACAAGTGCTGACGAGGATGTGGAGAAAGGGGAACTCTTTAGCACTGTCGGTGGGAATGTAGACTGGTGTACCCACTGTGGAAAGCAGTATAAAGATAACTCAAAAATTAAAAATGGATCTGCCTTTTGACCCAGCAATCCCACTTCTGGGAATATAGCTGAAGGTACACAAAACGCTAATTCAAAAGAACGTAAGAACCCCTATGTTCACTGCAGCTTTATTTACAATCGCCCAGACATGGATACAGCCCAAGCGTCCATCAGTAGGTGAATGGATAAAACAACTATGGGACATTTACACAATGGAATACTACTTGGTTATAAAAAAGAAGAAAGTCCCCCACATACAGCACCACAGTGTAGTGACATAGGTTGCCCTGCTCTAGCAAATACCTAAGGTTCTGCCTCATACTATATAACAGGTGTGCTGATAGAAAAAACAAAAAGGTCCAAACAAAAAATAGATCAAAGCTCCAGAAAAAAAACAACTAAGCGATGAAGAGACAGCCAACCTATCAGATGCACAGTTCAAAATATTGGTAATCAGGATGCCCATAGAACTGGTTGAGCATGGAGGCAAAATTGAGGGAAAAGTGAAGCCTATGAAAAGTAAAATAAAGGGAACCAAGAGTGAAGGGAAGAAAACCAGGACTCAAATCAACAATTTGGAGCAGAAAAAATAAACATTCAACCAGAACAGAATGAAGAAACAAGAATTAAAAAAAAATAAGGAGAGGCTCAGGAACCTCCAGGACAACTTAAATGTTCCAACATTTGAATCATAGGGGTGCCAGAAGGAGAAGAAGAGGAAGAAAGTGAAAGCTTATTTGAACAAATAATAAAAGAGAACTCTCCCAATCTGGTGAAGGAAATAGACTTCCAGAAAGCTCAGAGTCCCAAAAAGTTGGACCCAAGGGAGCACATAATTATATTACCTAACATTAAAGATAAGGAGAGAATCTTAAAAGCAGCAAGCAAAAAGGAGACAGTTACCTACTAAGGAGTTCCCATAAGATTATCAGCTGATTTCTCCCAAAAAACCTTGCAGGCAAGAAAGGGCTGGAAAAAAGTAATCCAAGTCATGAAAGCCAAAGACCTACATCCAAGATTGTTCTATCCAGCAAAGCTATCATTCAGAATGGAAGGGCTGATAAAGTGCTTCCCAGACAAGGTCAAATTAAAGGACTTCATTATCTCCGAGCCCTTATTATATGAAATGTTAAAGGGACTTATCTAAGAAAAAGAAGAAGATAAAAAATACAGACAGTAAAATGACAACAAACTCACAACTACCAACAACTGAACCTGAAAAATCTAAAACCAAAAACAAACTAAGGAAACAACTAGAACAGGAACAGTATCAGAGAAATGGAGATCACATGGAGGGTTATCAATGGGGAAGGGGAGAGATGGAGTGGGGGAAAAGGTACAGGGAATAAGTAGCATAAATGGTAGGTAGAAAATAGACAGGGGGAGGTTAAGAACAGTATAGGAAATGTGGAAGCCAAAGAATCCACATGTATGACCCATGGACATGAACTAACGGGGGAAGGGGGGGATGGGCGTGGGAGGTGGTGCACAGGGCAGAGGGGAGGAAACGGGAAATAGCATAAACTGTAATAGCATAATCAATAAACTACATTAAAAAAGAAGAAAGTTTTACCCTTTGTGATAGTAGAGATGGACCTGGAGAACATTATGCTAAGTGAAGTAAGCCAGTCAGAGAAAGACAAATACCATATGATTTCACTCATAAGTGGAATCTAATGAAGAAACTGAACTAACAAGCAAAGTAGAGACAGACTCATAGATAGAAGGCAGGATGACAGTGAAGGTGGGAGGAGGTTAGGGGATGGAAAGATTGAGCAAAAAGGAAAAAGGACTCATGGACATGGACAACAGTGTGGTGATGGCCAGGGCTGGAGTGTAAGGAGACTAAATGGTAATGGAAAAAGTACAATAAAAAAATTTTTAAATGGAAAAAAAGAAAAAGTGGTGATAGCAGGAGAAAAAAGAAATGAAAAGAAAGGAATCATTCCCAAGCGACTTGAAACCAGACTTATCAAACACCACAGCACCCAACCAAATAAATAGGCATGGGTTTCAATCCCAGGGATGTAATCTTTTCTCTTTCTTCCTCTCTCTCTTCAATGCTATCCCTTAATGGAACCTCAACCAAGTTATTAAGGGACAATACTGTTGTTGTTTTTTTTTAATCGTTTAAAAAAATTAAGACTGATCTCAAAAGTGAGATCTCAATGTTAGTCCTGTCTCTCATATAAGCCCCATGATATAACTAGATATTAGTTTCTATATCTATAAAAGTCTGTGAAAACAAAGTACCAAAAAACAGAGTACAGAAACATTCTAAGGGTTTAATGCATATCAGCGACTGCTTTTTTGGTTTTGTAAAACATTACAGACATTATAATTTGAGGCCACAGCATAAATTGTGATTAATATCATATCATTTGCCTTTACAAGAAAGTAAGGGATAATATACTTTTAAAATTCTGGTTGTAAGAACTTACATATCAGTTTTGACTATTCCAGTGACAGAAGAAATAGTGCTACATAAACTGGACAGACAAAAATTAACTATGGTCACTATTTTCCACATCAAGCACCATTAAGTAGCAGGCTACAAAATTTAAGTAGATAGGCCTCAAGTATGTAATTTCCATCTCTCTCCCTTTCCCTCCAGTTCATTTTTCATACACTTAATTCTACTGATTGGTCAACAACAGCTGCAGCAAGCCAGGAAAATTAGTAAACAAGTGTTCAGTATGTCATACATGTCATTTTTTTAAAATCTGGACTTTTCCCGTGGATCTATTTCTCCCATTAATAGCCATTCTAGTGCTATGGAATAATTTTTTAAAAATCTGTGACCCATAGCTATTTAAAAGACAGTTTTTATTCTGGATGTCCCTGAAGTTCAAAGTCACTCTTCAGCGGTCCTCAGGGTTCAGTTTCAGTCTGTCCGCAGCCCAAGGGTCTACCCCACAGTGAGAAGTGTTTGAAAAAACTAGAATTGACTAGTCTTTCTCTACAAATGTTAAGATCAAGAATTTGTCTGGTAAGATCCAGATACAGCTAACAAGAGCTGCCAGCCCAGCTCCAAGAAAACTATAAACCAGCTATTCATTTTCCTGATTCTACTGAATTTGCATTGAAATTGACAATTCACCACATTTAGGTCCAAGTCTGTTCACTGAATATAAAAGGTAAATAAGAAGGAATAAAAGAAATAAAAAGATACAATATGCCTGAGGGAGAAGAATGCAATTTTACCTGACATAGTTCAAGTTATGTAGAAAAGGTTATCTGCCTATGGCTACTGTGAAGTGGTAAAAAATCGCTCAAGAAACCACGGTAATGCTGCCCTGTGATAACAAGTAATTCAAAGAAACTACATTTCTTGGCTGAGTTATCTATAGTTCTCAAATAAAAAACATATGCTAATCCAAACAAATTACTTCAATTCAACAAATTACTTTCAAACCAAATTACTTAGGTTTTTTATTTACCTTTGTGCTACAAACATATTCTTTTGAGTTTATCTTATCAAAAGTCAGGAGCCTACCTTGTTTTATTCTGATACGATATTTTTATATCCTCCTCCAAATCACATCTAACTTCTGCCACGCAAACCTACTCAAATGCTGCATGAACTGGAGATCAGTGCAACACCTGAAGTCCTGAGCACCTACAGTAACAATGTGTGGAATCTGATTCCAGAGGTAAACCCAGTCAACCTACTGGGACCTTCAAATTGGTCAATACCTGAAAAACCTTCTGTATTAAAACATGGGACTTAAAATAAAACTCTATGGAGTTTCAACTAAATCCAAATTGCTCTCATAGACTTTAAGCACGTGGGTTTATGCCTTCAAAAGGAGCTGGCACAGGACTTGGGAACAAAAGTTTTTTTTTAATCCTCAACCGAGGACATACTTACTGATTTTTAGAGAAAGGAAAAGTGAGGTGGGGAGAGAGAGAGAAACACTGATGCAAAAATGAAACTCCGACCCGAGACAGAAACACTGACTGGCCTCTCGTACAACCTCGACTAAACCTGCAACCTACACATGTGCGCTGGGCTGGAATCACCCCGGGACCTTTCGGTTCACGGGACCACGCTCCAGCCAACTGCGCCACACCAGCTAGGTCTGGGAACAGATTCTTAGCCACACCTTTCCCAGATAGTACTAAGGGATCACAGGCAAGTCACTGAACATATTTGCACTTCAGTTCCTTCTGCAAAATGGCTATGGATAATATCTATTCTTACTGACCTTCCAGAATGGTTTTAATGATCAAATGAAGAACCATGAGAGTGCTTTGTAAACATGAATAAACTATATAAATGTTAATTTCTACAATATGATTTAAGAAAACAGAGAGGACCTGAACTAAACCAAAAAGGTACCTCCCTATATCACTGAGCCATAATCAGTTCCCTGGCAAAACTTTGGACACATCTCAGTGATGTTATGTATTTATGCTAAACTGAAATTTGTTAACTAAGCACATGAGAATGTAACACTATCACCTCGGTCTATTTTACCTATCTGAATACCATGATAAAGAAAACCACCACGGAGTCCTAATTTATCCATCTTAAAATTCCTATTGCTGGGAATTCCAGGCAGGTAAAGGAGGGAATGCAACCAGACGTGAGATGCTGCTTCTGTCACGAAGACTCTAACACCTTCACAAGTTGTTCTGTTTTATGCTGCATAAACAGCTAGTGATCTTACCTTTGGTCTCCAGAGTCACTGGGTCAGAACACTCCCCAGCCACAGCTTTGTTACAAGCTCGCACTCTGAAATTCATATACTTGGAATCAAACCTTAAGCCTGAAAAAATGAAAGTGGTTTTCAGACATAAAAAGTAAAGGAATCTACTCCAAAAGTATGAATATGAACCTTAAAATGGACTTTTTTCTCTCTTTGGAGCTTTCTCTTTACTGAGAAAGAATATAAAGTCATGTTGAATGTATAAATCATTCACAGACACGGACAACAGTTTGGGGATTGACTGTGGGAGTGGGGAGTGGGCTGGGCGGAGGAGAACAAGGCGGCGGGGGCGATGGGACAACTGCAATAGAGTAACAATAAAAAAAATTTTTTAAATTTATGTTGAAATGGTAATAATGCCTAAAATAAGAGGATTCATGACTAATCTATTATTTTCTTCGAAAGAAATAAATTATACAGTTTATCAATGAGGTTTTTTTAGAACCTCATGACAAAAAGGTACTGTCAAGCCTCGTGAAAAGTAATGTTTCGTTCAAAGTTGCTGCAGTTTAAAATAACATATTCAATTTCTCAAAGTAGATAGCCTAAGGAATTTTTATACTTATGAAAAATTGTCTTTTTATGTGGAAATAAATTTAAAGCGAAAGTGATACATAGGGATTAATCCCAAAACTCTGAAGTTAGTCATGTCTAGATTAAAACACTCCAAAACTTATTTAGCTATGGGACTCTCGACATGACAGAGCCACATGTCTGAAACTGTAAAACAGAAAATAATAAAACTGACCTTGTAACTATAAATATTAAATGAGATGTACTATGGAATACATTTCAGCCCAGCTCCTGGCAAATGGTAAGGGCTCAACAATGACAAAGTTAATAATATTACTGATCATATGTAAGAAGGGTTTAACAACTCAGGGGACATTCAGCCATTTCAAATACACAAAGTCCCCTATTTATAGAGATATCTTTCTGAAGACTTTCAAGAAACCAACAAACAAATTTCTAATTGCAAGTCACAGTTCTACGTTTTAAGTATTACTGCGAAGGTAATCATAAAAGGGAAAAGGCAACAATATTTGTGGGAAAATGTCTATATCTAAAAATTGCCAGCTTTTTTGCTGTTAGGTATGGGGGGTTAAATGGTTACAGAAAGAGACTTGACTTGGGGTGGTAAACACATAATACAGTACACAGATGATATGTTGTGAAACTGCTCACTTGAAACCAGTATAATTTTGTTAATCAGTGTCACCCCAATAAATTCAATAAAAAGGAAAAAATTTTAAAATGCCAACATAAAAGTTAAATGTTATTCTGACATATTATTTCCAGAACATCCCTTCATGTCTGTTCTATATACGTTGTTTTATCAGGTTGCAAAAATCCAGAAGTAATTTAAATTACAGTTTTCTTGAGATTTTAAGAGGAATTCATTTTTATAATGAATAAGTAAAAAATTGCTTGGCACCCTGGCCAGATGGCTCAGTGGTTGGAGCATCATCCCACACTACACCAAAAGGCTGTGGGTTTGACTCCTGATCAGGGAACATACCTAGGTTGCAGGTTCGATCCCCCACTCAGGTATGCACAGGATGCAACCGACTGATGTTTCTTTCTTACATCAATGTTTTTTCTCACTACGCCCCCGCCCCCATTCCTCTCTCTAAAAATTAATAAACATATCTTCAGGTGAGGATAAAAAAAGTCACTTGGCTGAAAAAACTTTATATTAAAGTAACACAAAATATTTTTCACAACTATATTTTCTGAGAAAGATTCATGAAATGCAGTCATTTTACCTGACAGTGTATATTCGGTAGCCTTAATATTATCGATGATCTCCCAGCATCGCTCATCCTTTACACGGGGAAGTCCATCAAAATTGGTTTTCCTGTATTCCAGTATGAAATGGTCGATCTTGTTATCTTCTTCTGGCATTCTCCAAGCCACGGTTACAGAGTTGTCAGCCACCAAACACTCCACTGGATCTATCTCCGGAGCTTTGGGGACTGAAGGAAGAAAAAGGCTCATTCCTCATTTATTGTAATACTAATTCAGCATTTATGTTTGTCATTCAAACTATGGTTTTTCGTGTTGCTTTTGAACTATTCAATTGAATCAGGCCAAGAGAAGGTGTATCCTATAAATACAAAATAACTATTTTCTGTTTAAAACTCTGTTTAAAAATTCATGTTTCAAAGTTTCTTACTAGACTTACTCAAAGTTTATAAAATCCTAGTTAGCAAAAACCAATTCAAACATGCTAATAAAGAATCAAGAATGACTTGTTCCTTCTCAAAATGTACTTTTAATCTATTTCAAAAATAGAATAACTTGCTTTGAATCCAACAGTTTAAATAATTCAAGTTATTTTCAATCCATTTTAACTCTTGTTTATAAAATAATTGTAATTTTCAGCACTAAACACAAATGAACTCCCCAAGTACTCCCCAAAATACTTAAGAATTTTAAAGTGTTTCTTCAAAGAGTTCCATGAGTCATTAGAATAAATTGGGACCAATGAGCCACAAACATGTGAACATAAATCAATTCCTTTTCAATGAAGAGGTTTCTCCACAGATTCTCAACAGTAACAGTTTCATTTATGTAACAACAGGCTAATTGAAGCACGTGGCCCTCCAGTGACACGGGTGTGTCTGAAATGTGTAAAACTGTGCAGGTGTTGTATTTGAACATTTTGTCACTAAAAAAGAGAGTTTTAAAAGATTTACTCCAAGTATGAAAGGGTGGTTCGAAATTTTAAATCAATGTAATCTATCACCTCACAAGAAAAAACATACGATCATATCAACAAATAAAGAAAAAACATTTGACAAATCCAAACATTCACAACAAAAAATTCTCAGCAAACTAGGAACACGGGGGCGGGGGGGGGCTTCACCTGATAAAGAACACAGACAAAAACCCTACAGTTAACATTACACTTAATGTCGAGAAACTAGGTATTTCTCCTCTAGGGCAAGGATGTCCCCTCGCCACTCCCCTTCAACACTGTACTGGAACCTCTTGCTAAATTCAGTTAAGACAAAAAAAAAAAAAAAGAAGTAAAAGGTATACAAATTAGTAAGGAAGAAATGAAACTGTCTTTGTTTGCTGATGACATGATTATCCTTGGAGAAAATCCCAAAGAATCAACGAAAAAATTCCTGAACCTAGAAAGAGATCACAGCAAGTTTGCAGGACACAAGGGATGAACCGGCAGATTAGTTTTAGGGCAGTGAAACTCTTCTAAATGACAACGTTATGATGGATATATGACATTATACATTTGTCGAAACCCACTGAATTGAATGACACAAAAAGTGAACTCTATTGTAAACTATGTGCTTTAGTTAATAATAATGTATCAATATCGGCTCATCAATTATAACAAATGTACCATACTCATACAACATGTTACTAACAGGGGAAATTACATGTGGGGAGGGGGAAAGTATAGGTAACTCTCTGTATTGCCTGCTCTATTTTCCATAAACCTAATCCTGTTTTAAAAAACAAAGCATTAATTTAAAAAACTGCAATAACAACAAAGAAATTATATACAAAAGTTAAAATGGAAAGCAAAGTGAGAAAACAAATAACAAAGTAAACGTCTTGGATAAAAAAATCAAGAGAGAGATGAAAGGAAATTGATGTAAATGTTCAATCTTCAAGCCTAACTAGTAAGAAAGGGCAGGAGGAAGGGAGGTGGAACAACGGATCTCCATTAACTATAGTCTCCAAAGTTCGACTCTTACATGTGTGTAATTGTGCAATAAATGTCTGGAATCTCATAGACCTTAACAGTAAGACAACATACAACCAAAGAAATATTTATCATTTGTCATTATAATTAATTCCCTTCATCTGTCTTACGGAGTTTTTGTCCCTATAACAAGTAACAGATATTAGTCTCTATTGTGGAACATAAGCAATACAGACTACTATTCATTGTCAAGACAACAGAACACAGATATTCATAATTTAAAATGCTCTGTGTTGCCTACATGTGAGGAAATGTAAATGCCTATTTGGCATATAGAATTTCATAATTTTGCCAAGTCAAAAACCCATACTAAAAGTACTAAGAGCCTGGTAAAAAGAGGGTCACTTAATCCATAAGTGGATCTGGCTAACTCCCCACTCACTATATGCATCTCAAGTCAGCTACGGTATCAGTAAGAACAAAGTACATTCTTCTTTCTTGTAAAGAGTGGCCCCCAAAAGAAAGCAAACTGCTAAAAGTGGTAACCAAGCTAAAACAGACAAATACCACATCATCTCACCTTTAACAGGAACTTAAACAACAAAACAATCAAACAAGCAAACTATAACCAAAGACACTGAAACAGAGAACAGGCTGACAGTGTCCAGAAGGGACAGGGGAGGGAATTTCAGGGGAAAAGGGGAAGAGTTTGCAGGAACAAGTTATAAAGGACACATGGACGAAAACTAGGGGGTGGGAATGGGAGGGGGGAAGGGCAGGCTAGGATGGGAGTAAAAGACAAAACAACAATTCAACTGTACCTGAACAACAATTCAAATTAAAAAAAGATTTTTCAAATACAATAAAAATAAGAATTCGAGAAAATGGTGATGCTTGGGAGGAAAAAGGAAAATTGAGTAATTTAAGAGTGACATGTCAAATTAAGGTTGACTTAAATCTAATATATGTCAGAACTTCACCCAAGATTCTATACAGAAGAAAGAATTCATTAAATGAGGGATAATAAACTTCATGGGAAGATGAAAAGCAGTAAAATTATGTATAAAAATATTACATGACTTAGAAAATGAAGAACTCTCTTTTCTTGCCCTGACGGAGTGGCTCAGCTGTTCATGTACACCAGAAGGTTGCGGGTTTGATTCCTGGTCAGGGCGCATACCTAGGTTTTGAGTTCGATCCCCAGTGGTATGCATACGGGAGGCAACTAAGTGATGTTTCTCTTTCTCTCTCTCTCCCCACTTCCCCTCCCTTCACCCTCCTTCCCTCTCCAAGCATATCCTCCATGAGGATTTTTTTTAAAAAGAAAGAAAATGCAGAGCTCTCTTTGAAAATGAGAATGAAAAGCAGGTCACAGCAATTCCCATAACACAACAGTTAACTACCAATAGTGTGGAAACTGGTTCAAGAACTTTACTAAGGTTTCTCTGTGTGTGAGTGTGAAAGTACAAGTGGCACCAACGTTGCCACAAACACGTTTCTCTTTCCAGCTGTAGAACCTCAGAAAGAATATAAACTCTCAGTTTTAATGTATTTTTTAAAATGGCTTAAAGTAGAAGAAAATGACTTTGCAATTATTCATCAGCATCATTTCCACTTTTCAGACTCAGATCTAAGTCCACAACTCATGTACTACATATAACGCAGGGTAGACTTGACTTCTGTAGTAGCTATGGAAAAAATTACTAAGAGATAAAGGTATTCATTTTTTATTTAATCTGACTGCATCTTATAGGAAATTTTTATGCTAGAGCACATATTAAAAATTAGTAATATAAATTCACCTTTCATAAACTTAAACAATTATGCTTTTCATAAGGGATGAAACTCTTCCCTAAAAGGAGTTTTTTGAAATTATACCTTATTCCTTCAGACTATCTTAACAGTGTTCCAAAAGAAGCCCTAATTGTGCATGCAATCCACTTGACTATACAGTAGGCATGGCCTTGGTCTGTTAAGGTACTACTGAAAACTCAAGAGAAAGGAATGGTGAGATCACTTAAAAAAAAAAAAAAGAACCCCTGTACATTCACAATCCACCACTAAAATTAGAATTGGTGTGGGTGATAACATAATGGTTGGTGACTCTGAAAGGCCAATTTATAGGTGATTTCCACTGACAAGTATGCTTTCCTCCTCTACAACTATAGTTCCTTCTCTTGTCTATCCTTCTGTTAACTCCTCTAGAACTTCTGGTCTATACGACACAAGTTAATACTTCATGTGTGCTACCCTTACCAGTTCCATTAATTTCATGACTACTAACCTTACCTTTCCAATCACATTTTAAATCCCTGACCAAATATTCTGAGAAGAGTGGTTTCGTATCACCAACATTCTCTATTCAAAAACAGATAATCTCTAAAAACTGAAATCCACTTCTAACTAAGCAACTGTTTGAGAAAAACACTTCACTTAAAGAGATTTCCTGATCCCTCACATCACCATGTCCAAATTGTCTTAGCGATCAACATTAATTGATGCTAGCTAAACAGAGAATGCTACTAACTAAAAGGTCTCTAATAGGCTCTTTCATACATGTGGACAAATAATTTGGGACTCGATTTCAACTGGTTTGGCTACTGAAATATCATCACATGAATACTCTGACAAACCAATGTTAACATTATTACTGAAAATAAAATTCCACCCGCACCACCAGCAACCACAGCAGCGATGGTAACGACAGCAGCTAACATTCACTGAGTGTTAACTGTGTGACAGGTCGCATTTCAAGCACTTTATAGAGATTCCAATTCATTTAATCCCTACAAAAACCCGGAAGGATAACATCACATTTTAAAGATGAAGAAAATGAGGCAAAGTTAAATAACTTGTTCGAAGTCACACAGCAAGTAAGTGGCAGCCAACACTCAAATCGAAGAAGTCTGGGTGTAGACCCAGGATTAACCACTGTGGTGTACTGCTCCTGTCAAATGGACGATAAAATATGTCCCTGAATGGCATTCTTAAAAAATGAAATTTACATACCAGTAAAACAGTTTTCTAACAATAAAGACCTGTACATTTAAGCATTCCTTAGCAGAATGAAGAAAAAATTATAGTATATTTCTTTAATATTTACATTCCAATGTTCATGCAGAAAAATCTTACATAAAAAATATTTTTATATATAAATTTACATATAATATCTGTACTTACTTACTTACCTGGCAAAAACTTCAAAGTTTGCAACATCTGTCTTTCCTGAGAAAAATCCACCATTAAATGAGTCATGTTGTCACTGACCTTTGGTTTCAACGAAAGGCGAAAGGCGGAAGCCATTGTTACTCTACGGCAAATACAAACATACTTTTAAAACTAAAAGAATGGGAAGTATCGTTTATTTAATTTATAAAATGAAAAGATAGAAATTATTTCACTCTAGTGATTTCAGAAACTACATCAGAGATAACAAAACTAGACAGAAATTTGCTTAGTCTTTGAAAACCAACTAATTAAAAACTGTAAACTATTTTTAAACTTAAAGACATTTAAGATAACTTTAAGGAACTTTCTTGCAGCCAGTTTTATAAAACTGCACACAAATGCAACACGTACCACACGAGACAAACATTCAGCATCAATCATCTTTAACAGACCCAACGGCCATCTAACCCGCTGTGCACTCAGTCTCATCGACTTCCTGATGCCAGCCTCGCTCCTTTTCACATGCCAAATAGTGAACTGTACATACACCCTGATTCAAACGTTCCCCCTGGGAGTGACAGCTACTCCACGTATCCTCAAGTAAGAGCAGAGGTACACTGACCAAAGACTGTGTAGCTTGGGAGCTGCTAAAGACAGGCCGTGGATGAGAAAGGAGAGAAGTGAAAGCACTAGAAGGTGTCCCTCTGATGTGTCCACATCAGCTACATGGAAGGATACAGAAGGAACAGTTCTGTGAAACCCCATGCCACAGAAATAACAGGAGTTCAATAAATATGTATGAGATGAATGTGATACAAAAAACAAACACGCACACACAAAAGAAGCCATAACAGACTTAATTTCACCCACAGTATGGGGAAATTGTTCTGTTAATTCAAGCTGGGAAGAAAAATTATCATGTTCTACTAATTTGTCATTTTAACTCAAATTTCAGTTTTTCATATTACAATAAATTTCCACAAGAATCACAAAATACCTCCCGCTTACTATCTTTTGTCAAAGAATGACACAAAGGTAATATTCATCATGAATGTTGTACTCCGGGTACACAATCTGGGAGAAGAAGTGAACAGAGCAGGCGAAACAAAGAGAATACCAGGCCCAGTCACTCAGATCTGCCAAACCTACTCTAGAGATCAATGGTATGAAAGACACCAAACTTGTTGCTGTATTCAGTTATTTTGAGATGGAAAATGTCTAACTGTTGCTATATTCAATTACTTTATTTCATATTAAAACTAGTAAAGTAATCACTTTAGCAACAAAGTTAACTAATCTATCAAAAAGAAAGAGCTGACATGGTGAAAAATAATTTGTGGGGAAAGGAAATCTCACACTTAATGAACTGAGTATTTTTTACATACTACTTTAAGATGCTGACTGTCAATAACAATATTTCAGATTGTATCAATAAGAAGTTAGGAGCGAAGTCTAAGCCTTTGTTCTTTACAGCCCCAAGTATCTTTTGACGTGAAGACCTCTGAATGAGCTCTTTCCAGATGAGTACTTAGTAAATGCCCTTAGAATCAATGAATAGGTTTGCACCTACTTAGTTGCTTCTAAACCTGATTATTTAAATGCCTTTTTTGAACTGCTAAGACAAAAAATCCAAAAATATTTTAGGAAATTCAAATCTGAAACTGGAACTACAAAACTTGATTTAATCACTATGACCTTAGAAAAAGAAGAATGTTCCCCAAAAGTGCACTCAGAGAGTCTATCAAAGCCTAAAGAACAAGAATAATGACCTTCATTTTCTAGTCAATGAAAATTTCAGTCTCCATAAATCAACTTAGACAGATGAACAACAACGGTATAATTTTTCAAAAACTGAACTTTTTATTTTCAAACTGACTATATGTAGACAATTGTGCCCCAAAGCACAGGCTAACAATCTCAAATCCACAGATAATTACATTACAGGATCTGTGTCATTAGGAATGTTTGATTTCTCCCTGACTTTCTTGGTTTAGTTGTAATAGTAAAACTGAATACAAGGATCACTACTCTACCTCATTTTATTTAGGCAAAGAGAAAAATAACCACAAAACACACAGATGGACACTTTTAACTTCCTCAAACTACCTACCTAATTAATTATACTCTTCCTAATTAATTATACTCTTCCCTTAAGTCCCACAATGTACCCCAACTAATCACTTTCCAACGTTACTAAGCACCCAGAAGTACAATACCAGTGCTCTGTAAAGATGCAGAGATCTGCTGTGTTATCTTCTCATTTCTGCCTGTACTGTTCCCTGTCACTCCGCTATTCCTCCTGTAAAACGTCTGCCGCAGAAAATGGTCAACACTGACTTCTCACTTATGCTCTCATTTCCGTATATTCGATTCCTTGCTGAGGTATATTACGCACTCTTCCTTAAAAATACCACTTTCACCCTCATATAAGGGAGAAAGTTTTTCTTCCCTCAGTGAAAATAACCGCGTTATTATGACTATATATTAATTTTTACATAATAAATAGCAATAATGGAATTCTAGAAGCTTGGATATTATGAAACTAATGTTCAGGGAAACCTGAATGTTATGAAAACTAAAAATCAAGTTTAAAAAATTAAGCCAAAACCCAGAAATATTCCTTAGGTAGGAAGTAAAATTTTTGTGGGGAGTCTAAAAAAGAAGTATAGGCTTTGAAAAACAAAACAAAAGAAAAATAAATGGAGTTTGCCCCAGCAAAACCAAACCAAACCAAACCAAAAACCCTGACTCCTGAGAGCACCTGGATACTGATGAATTTGAGCCAAGAGTTTGGCTTAGATGAAGAGGAAAAGAAATCAAGCTTCACTAAAGAATACACTCAACCATGAACACTTATCATAAAACTAAATTCTGAAAGACAAATCTGGACAAAGAAAAAGAAGGCAGGGGTAAAAACAGAATTCTGGAAAGCTCAGAACCATAGGGGAAGAACTAGAGGGATTTTGCAAGGTCTCTCAAGGTCTTTGGACAGCCCAAAGCCTGATTAGGAAGTGACTTCTAATCCAGATAATCTGGGACCAGGGCAGGACTTAGTGAAGCAGGTGGCCAAATAGAAGAATAATGTAGCCAGGGCAGAAGATGGATCACTCACAGTGAATTCCAGCATACACAACCCCAAACTACCTTTTCCAAAAACTGCCTAGCATCCAGTCCTTGAACAACCAATACTTTTTTACCTTCAAACTGTCATAATCTCCTTTCCGTATTTGGAATTTATAAGAATAATTCATGTTTTTAACCAATCCCTATATTTGTAAAATATAGAAAAATATTAAAATTAATAGGTGTGCTAAAAATGCTGTGACAGTCATGTTAATTCTGCCTCTATTAAAATAAACAGCTGTGAGAGAAACACAGATTGAAGTCTTCAGCCAAGAGTAACAATGGGGGCACTAGTTTTCACTCTATAGTGACTAATTTTGTAAATTACCTGATGCATGGTAATTTCATCTAGGACTCATGGTGATCGCAATAGCTGTGCCATCCAGAGGGCCCCCTAATCCTCACAGGAAGAAACCTAAGTGATCCTCTCACTACAGTCGATGGTCAGTGACTAAGCCAGGCTGAGCTGAGCTATTGCTTCTGTGGAAACCCAATTCAAAATTGTGAGCAGCTCCTTCAGCCTTTTGCTGTCTTCATTACAGCAAGTACTCAGCGTACTCAATTTCCTTTTTTTACCCTCACCCGAGGACATGCTTATTGGTTTTAGAGAGAGAAGGGAGGTAGACAGGGAGAGAAAAATCAATCAGTTGTCTCTCGACCAGGAGCAGGGACCTCTCTTGCAGGTACCAGACAGGGGACCCGAATCCTCAACTAGGTCATGGTCCCCTGACCTGGAATCAAACCCACGTCCTTTGGGACCTTCCACACTGGCGAGGGCTCAATTTCCTTTCTTAATTTTGATTCTATCAATGAGAAAGACCTTTTAAGCTAAAGCCTTTCATTATTTTCTTTAATTTTCTTCCTATAAACTAGAAAGTAGTGGCATTAGAAAGAGAAAGAGATGGCACCAGGAGCAGGATGGAACAAGAATACAAAGGTGTTAAACAGGAGAGCAGTGAAGTAGGAGAGCTTTAGCTCCTGAAGACTATTTAAAATGCTGTGACTTCTCAGGAAATAAGACATGCCTATAAAATTGAAGGACAACAAAAAATGCATTCCAGGGATATATATTTTTAATTATTCAAAATGGTTCCCCATCCATTAGCATAGTTAATTAAAAACTGTACTAATACTAACTACATTATACCAGAAATGAAATTCTTTTGGAAGTACATAATTGTCAAAACTACTTTTTAAAAAATCTTGCTAATACATATATTGTTTACTCCAGAAAATATGCAGAAGAAACACAGGGTCTTTTGTACTTAACCATTAGGTATTTTAATTTTAACCAACAAGATTCTACTGAGAAACTTTTCTTGAATTTCATTTCTGACTTCAATATCAACACTTAAATAAAAATGTAGGTTTTATTCCATACCTATCCTTGATCTGTCTGGCAGCCTTGGAGCAAATCAGGGAGAAGAGAAAGAACGCAGTTAGTGCTTTTCATGCAAGTTTCAATGACAGTGACATGCAAGAAAAGTTAGGATATAAATCCTGGAATAGATTAGTTCATACCCACCAAAATATAAATTATAGGAAATGTGTACAGTTTGCATCAGCTTGCATAATGTGATGTGAGAACTACAGTACAAAATCTAGATCCTATATAAATGACCTTAGAAGGAGGGAAATTTAACACTTCAAATAAAAACCAGATGACTATAAATATTTTTCTTACCTTAAAATTATCCTAACACACCTCCACTTTCATTCAGTCTGACACTCTCCCACCAGAACAAGCAATCTTCTTCATGGGCCACACATTTCTATGCATTCTGATAGTTTTCTTACACATTTCAAATCTGTGCTCCAATTTTTCTTCAGAGATGTCTTTCACCATTCGATAATGATTGTTCCAAGTTTTCTCTCTATACTTTCACTGGGCAAATACTTTGTATTCTCAGAGCTTGCCTGCTAACATGTAAAACTAGGCTGCAGTTCTACAATCCTTTACCCCCAAAGAGAGAAGTTTTAACGGCAAAAATTCAGACAAGGGAAAACCAGAGAAACACTTCAAGCAATGGGGTCTTTCCCTCAGATGACTTCATGGGAGCTGCGAACTTAAACCTACTCTACACTAAGATCTTTTTGTTGTTGTTTTTGAGAATGCTAACATAAGTTTAGAAAGGGGACACAGCTATTACTTAGTGACAGCCACAGAATAAAACATACAAGTAAAAACTGTTGTCCCCTTTACATTTACATGCAATATAATATTTATACCCCACTAAAGTCTTTTCCCCACACTGACCAGCACAATCAATGACACACCCAATGCAGACTCAGGGCTGTTTTCCTCTATGCTTCATCCCCAGTGTTCAGCATAAAGCTTTGTATACAATGACACTTAACAATTATTAAATGTAACAATATTAAATGCATATAACAAGGCTTCTGTTGCCTCTCTTTAGTTTTTTTAAATATATTTTGATTATGCCATTATAGTTGTCCCATTTCTCCCCCTTCATTCCCCTCCACCCTGCACACCCCTCCCCCACCATTTCCCCCACTTAGTTTATGTCCATGTGTCTCAAGTTCTTTAGATTCTACATTTCCCCTACTATTATTGCCCTCCCCCTGTCTATTTTCTACCTACCATCTATGCTACTTATTTTCTGTACCTTCTCCCCCCTTCTCCTCCTCCCACTCCCCTGTTGCTAACCCTCCATGTGATCTCCATTTCTATGGTTCTGCTCCTGATCTAGCTGTCCTCTTAGTTTGCTTTGGTTTTAGGTGTGCTTGTTAATAATTGTGGGTTTGCTGTCCTTTCTCTGTTCATCTTTTTTATCTTCTTTTTCTTAGGTAAATCCCTTTAACATTTCATATAATAAGGGCTTGGTGATGATGAACTCCTTGAATTTGACCTTATCTGAGAAGCACTTCATCTGTCCTTCCATTCTAAATGAAAGCTTTGCTGGATAGAGCAATCTTGGATGTAGGTCTTTGGATTTCATGACTTGGAATACTTCTTTCCAGCCCCTTCTTGCCTGTAAGGTCTCTTTTGAGAAATCAGCTGACAGTCTGATGGGAACTCCTTTGTAGGTGACTGTCCCCTTATCTCTTGCTGCTTAAGGATTCTCTCCTTAATTTTAATCTTGGCTAATATAATTACGATGTGCGTTGGTGTGTTCCTTCTTGGGTCCAACTTCTTTGGGACTCCCTGAGCTTCCTGGATTTCCTGGAAATCTATTTCCTTTGCCAGATTGGGGAAGTTCTGCTTTATTATTTGTTCAAATAAGTTTTCCACTTGTGCCTGTTCCTCTTCCCCTTCTGGTACCCCTATAATTGGAATGTTGGAACATTTAAAGATGTCCTGGAGGTTCCTAAGCCTGTCCTCATTTTTTTGACTTCTTGTTTCTTCATTCTTTTCTGTTTGGTTGTTTCTTTCTTCCTTCTGGTCCACTCCCTTAATTTGAGTCCCAGTTTCCCTTCCATCACTATCAGTTTCCTGTGCATTTCCCTTCATTTCAATTAGTTTAGTCTTCATATGTTCCTCTAATTTGTGACTAAAATCAACCAGTTCTGTGAGCATCCTGATCACCAGTGTTTTGAACTATGCATCTGATAGGTTGGCTATCTCTTGGTCACTTAGAAGTATTGGCTCTGGGGCTTTGAGTTCTTTTTCTGCTTGAGCCATGTTTTGGTCTGTTGGTGCCTGTTACATATGAGGGGCGGAGCCTTAGGTGTTCACCAGGGAGGGGCAACTCAGTCCCCTGGGTTGTGATGCTATATGTGGAGGTGGGGTCAGAAAGGGGCAATGGCGTTGTTCTGCTGTCTCTCGGATTTCAGTCCCCTCTGCTGCTTCCCACAAGCAAACTGGATCCCCCTGGTGCCTGCTCCTGGGTGTGTGGGCCTGTGCACCCTCCAGGACCCTGTGGGTCTCTCCAATAAACTCTCTGTGAGCCTGGGAGCTTCTCCTGGCACCTCGACCCCAAAAGTTTTTCCAATTGGTGCTTTTAGGCTTTAATTCCCGGAGCTGGGGCACTGGGTTGTGCAGTCTGTCTCACTGCTCATTCCTTTGCCTGGTTTATCTGTGTACGAATGTGTGACCCCAGTCAGCCAGCTGCCTTGCGCCCCCACTGGGTCCTCCCGTTGCCACCCCATGCCTGGGATCCACTAACCGCCGCCTGGGAACCTAAGTCGGTCTGGCCACTTTTTCCTGCACAACCCCGCTTCCCAGCCGCTGACTCTGCCCCTCTTTACCGGTCTGGCTGAATGGTTTGTTGTTGTCGGACTTCAGTACAGTTCAATTTTCTGTGTTTTGGTTGCGTTTTTGTTACTAAAACCTTGTTGTTTTTAAACTTGGTTATGCGAGGAGGCACAATGTTTCCACCTACGCCTCCATCTTGGCCGGAAGTCTCTTCAGTTCCAATATTTTCTTACTATTAGTCATTTTTATACCCACCCTAAAATATTCTGATCTGAGAACCTTTCTGAGAACAGAACTGTAATTTAGATCAGCATGTTATACAGTTCCAGCACTAGCATAATCAATTCTGTGATCTTGGATACTAATCATTCTATTTTTTGTTAAGGGATTTGGGTCCTTAATGTTTCCAAATATATTTTTCAAGCTCCACATCCTGTAGCAGACACCCCAACTCCATGGCATCTGTAGTAAGTTCCTTAAATCATGACACTACTTGGGTACTAGGGATAAGAAATGTTGTGGTAGTCAGTTACATTTTTTTATTATTGCCACATATTTATAGGTAAGATTACAAACCAAAGATTTAATACATATCAAGTGAGGGGAAGAGAGACTCTTCTCTGCACTTGATGTTTCTTTACATATGGAGAAACTTCCACTAGCATTCCTTACTCCCTTAGCCGCTCTCTGTTCTGTCATTTCTCTTGGGGAGGTGATACGACTTCATCTGATTATGAGTTTGAAAGGAGAAACTAGAAATAAGTAGCTCAGCACCTCTTCCTTTTTCTGGCAGCTTGCCTGCCCACAGAGAACACACATTCTGTTCTTCCCCTTGATGCAGGAAGTATCACTGGGACAAGCTCCCCGCCACCACCTGACAGAGCCCTGTAGGGACCATACCTGGGTGGGTAAATCTGTGTGGTTCTAGGTTTCAATATTAGGAATTTTGCTCACTGATATAAACTAAATTCTCTAATATCATTTTATCAGTATTTGGCCTCTTACCAGCTTTATTGTTTTATCTATTTCCCAACTAGTTTAGAACTTTAGATTAGAGGAATGTTACTAACCAGTGACTCTCAAATAACCCAATACTATAAAGACCATTACTGTTTTATAAACTGACCATAATAATTATTCAATTTTGTATCTAGTGTTAATTTAGTAAGGTGCCATTTTTAGTGTGTGCAAATGTCCACACATACATATGCATGTAAAGCTTTTATGTTATTATTTAATGTGCTTGGCTGTTTGTGAGAAACCAGAAGGTGAGTAGAAGAAAAACATGTAACTTAGGAAAAACTGTTGTCCCGTGTACATATGTAAATATGCCCACTTGGTAAAACTGGAGACTCAGTGGTTTGCCTTCATTAGGTTCAAATTTTATAGCACATATACTGTGAAAATGCAGGAGGGATTGAAAAAGTTATTCTGTGCAATGATAAAGGGTAGAAAGTCTCAAATGCTGCAAATAGTTCTCTAAAAGGGCCCAATTTCAAAAATTGTCTTGAATTGGATAATAAGTTGTTTAATTTTATTTTTCTGGAATTTCTTCTCCCCACACAGAAAGCTGTCCAAAAGGCACACATTACAATGTTGCTTGACTCCTCTAAGTTTCAAATTAAACTGGGGTGCATTCTGTCATTTAAACATCTCTGTTTAATAAGTACCAATTGACCCCATCATTCACCATGGTTCTGTCTCCAATACATTTATTTGCAACTATGTAATTCCAGTTAGTGAGTTATGAAGAGGACCCAATGAATACTCAGACATTTAGGTTTTGGTACTGTATACTACTGGAAAGCCTTCCAGAATTATTAGATTATTAGTTATGTTACTTTGCTCAACATGACTCTTTTCTATTTCAATTTTGATCACGATTGCTATACGAATCTTCCAGTGAAATACTGTTTGCCAACACATCATTTCCTCTGTTCATATCAAAGGTATCTCCTTTCTCTCTCATTCCGTTCCTCCATCTCTCAGTTAATTGTTTTAAAAATAAATCTTACAATTCTGATTCTTTATTTTATAAGTTCTAGGAATCTGCCACCTCAGATCAAACTTGCCCAAATAGAATTGTGTCAGAGTACAATATATTAATAGTAGTAACCACAAATGGTTCTTCATAATTACCAATTAAATATATAGAAGTTAAACCAGAACTTTTTTCAATCTCTTGGTTTTAATCTGCAATGAGTAGATATAGAAACTATTTTCTTCTGTGATTTTATCCAGCCCTTTGAAGGTAAAGATCTTACTGTTTCTAAATCCCTTTTTAATATCTTCATTTTCTTTCCTTTAACATAAAGATGTTAGAAGCAAAGTACTCTAACACAATTCTATTTATGGAGCAGCTAAATTGAATAGGATTTCTAGACACAGTTAAAAAGGGAATAATAAAATAGTTTTAGCTCCTGCTTAATGTATTCCAATCACTCATTTTCCCAAACAGAACAAAATTTGAAATTTCCAAGTTTCTTCCCAATCAGCAGAAATTTTGAAATCTGTCATCCAAAAATAAGGAACAATGACCAAAGTATAAGAGATCTGCATTTCAGCCAATCACATTAACCAGCAAGACACTCAGCTCTTTTAGGACTCAGTTATCTATAAAATGAGAAACACTAAGGTATCTTTAAACCCTAGAAGTCCATCCTAAGCCATCTTAGTATATAATAACTTTCTAAAATTATCCAAAATGAATTAAACATTTTAACAGCCTAATTCTCTGAAATACAGGCTGCAATAGAGAAAGATGGCAAATAAAGAGTTAAAGTCAGAGAGCACTGATAAGTAGCAATGAAAATAAGAATCTATCTGTTTCTGGATGATAATTGCTGAGAGAAAGGTACACCAACTCTGTCAAAAGAATGAATCTAGCAAAAGCTAGATGTCAAAATTGGCATTTGCCTGAGAGAATTCATCTTCTTTTGATTTGCAGTAAAGCCAAATAGAGTTCCTAGGAAAAATCTGAATGTCACACAACAGAGGACTTTTTCAAGTCTTGTCTACATGTTCACATTGCTTATACTTCAAATTTTCCTACTAGATTTGGGGCAGATAATTTTGTAATGTTTCCTTGAGACAATCTGAAAATGCATAAGGGGCAAATATTTAATACTTTTTCAATATATAATTGAGATATCTACCCTTACCCCAAAAATAACATATTAAGGGCATAACTTGGAAAATGAGAGGGACTCAGTGACAGTGAGTGAAAAGAGAGAGTTTCAAAATGCTATTTTCCTTAGGTAAAAAAACCAACTTGAGAAAAAAAAAAACCATTGCATCTGCATACTGGTTGATTCGATACATTAGAAGTTTATATTTGCTATATAAATATGTTTATAAAAAGAACTATTTTTGTAAAACACAATCACTTAAAATTCATCTTCACAAAGTATGTGTAAGTAAAAAGTATGTAGTAGTAAAGAACTTGAAATAAACTTTAGATACAATACTGCATCTGCTCTATGACTAAGGACATTTATACAATAGATTACACTGTTATAGAACATCAACACCCATTTTTGAAACAAAGGGGGAAAATTATAGCTTGAGCTATTCTTAACAAATATTTAGATTTGTTTTTAAATTGCCCTCGAGACTGAAACATTCATGCTTTTCTTAAAGGTCCTCTCCTCTCCCAGCATTCCTGAATCCAGCCCACAGAAGCAGCTTCTGCCCTCCCTCCCGCTGCCTTGAAAAGGCTTCCACCCCTCTCCGTATCTGCCACTCCCAGTGGTCGGAGCCGCACACTCACTGAAGAATATTCTAAGGACTGAGTCAGAATTGGGAAATACACAAAACCTACTCTCCCTTTTTACCTGGAATCAAATGTAGACGACATTGTTTCCCTCTGCCTTAGCCTGTACATTTTACTTTATCGTAGGCACCGGGGCAAGTTACCATCCCATCCTTGCTAGTCTAACAAATGGGTTGTGTGTGGCAAGATTGTGATGATGGCTGGTTAGTTATACTGACTTGGAAATTGTTCCACAAACTCAGCTCTTCATAGGTAGAATTCAAATTCTCAATTAAGGGATGGGGAAAGACAGGAATATTAATTCTGGCAAAGGATCCAAGCAGTGTTGTGCAGGACGGCTATTAGCAGAGAACCCAAGTTTGGTGGGATTTGGGCTACTTCTCCATCCAGAATTCAAGCTAATGATCAGGTCTCACTTGCTGGTGATCCCTCTGCATGTATTTGCTGTCAACCAAATAAGTGACAGTCAACCAAATAAGTGACAGTCTAGTGTAGGGATATATACTACCTTCTCGGGAAAGATTTTTCTACTTTCAAGTTTAATCATAAAATGAAAACATTAAATGGACACAAATGGATTATAAAGCCACCTTTCTGACATCAATGCAGCTCACTACTTTGTCCACAAAGGCCAAAAAAACAATATCGAACTCAAATATTTTATCTTGAAAATATTACTAAATAGTCTGTATTTTGCTAATTATATAGCTTAATTTCCCACTCTTTTCACACCATTTCACACCACTTTAAAATATATTTTATATTCTTATTCTACATCAAATACAACAGATTTGATAAACTGTTATTCATTTAAAATCAACTCTACTTAAAATAAAAACTAGAATTCAAAATCTCTTAAATACCAGGACTCAGGTTAAAACATTAGCAATCTTTTTGCTCTACTGCTTCTAGTTTCATACCAAACATTCCCCTTAAAAAAGAGACTTATATTTTCATATTTTAGTAAGACATTCAAATAATTTAAGCTAAACGGTGGAACGTTTAATAACCAATGCACTCAGCTGCAGTGCTCATCTGTATCACATGACGATTTTCCCCATCAGCTCACAGAAAGCAATACAAGACTAGACTTTCTACTCCTTTTAGACTTTCATTTTTCAGATGGAAAAAATCCAAAATTAAAGAGAAAAAATAATTTTTAATCAAAACTTTCCTTTTTAATTGGCTTAATTATTTTGTTGATTATTTTGTACCTTTGAAAATTCTTCAGCTTCCTTTATATCTAATGAGCGTGTTGCAAATTCCAGTAGTTCCTCAGAGTTCTCCAGGGCACTGTTGCACTGACTAAGCTGACTCTAGGGAAAAAAAATTAATCATTACAATAAAATTTCCTATTGCCATCAGAATCTTAAACATATAGCATTGTAATGAACTTACAAACAATTTAATAGCAATAATTGAACAAAAATATTGGGAAGAGCTACTGAAGCAAGGTGATCACTAGTCATATTGTCAAGGAATTTTAATTACCTTAATACATTGTACTTAGCATCTTTCTCTAAGAGCTTAATTTGTCCATATGAGCTTAACTGCATACAGGTAAAGAAAACACAAAAGAAAGTAAAACAATTATAAATAACTAGGGTCAAATTTACTTAAAGATTATTCTCAATCAGGGCAGTCAGAAAACTACCAACAATTTAAATTAAAATATTGAAATAATCCATCTGCAGACAATATCCTTTATAATGAAGACTATATTCTTTATGATATTTAACTATTTAAAGTTTATGAATCAAGTTACAGGTACATTCAACTGAGCACAACCTTAGTACTACATTTATCACAATAATAGGAGTATCAAATAATGCTCCTAAATGCTAATTTATAGTTTCCAATACAGGGTAATACAGCAATAAAAAATGCTAGAGCCTAGATTTCAAAAACAATAGAGAGGAGCAAGAGAGGGTAACTGCTAGAGTGATGTGCTCTGTTATAGTGATGTATTAAGTTCACCTAACATACTCTTTCTTATTCAGTTCTCTCTATTATTTGTAGATGTGAAAATATTGTTAGTGATACCTTTAAACACAGGCAGACCTATTTCTATGTTTTTCAATGTATCCAACATTCTTCTTCAGAACATTTATTATGATCTATTCCATATTCAAGTCTACTTAGTTTTCCCTTAAGATTGACACTAACAACAACCTATGGCTCATTTTATTGTTTTCCAGCATGTTTTATTTTACTCTGGAAAGGTAGAATAATTCAGCCATATTTTGGATTAAAGTATGGTATTCATGGGTTATTCTAAGAACCTACCACAATTTCATAAAAATACTGCATCCCCATAAGTAAACTTCTTAATTAATTCTAAAGATGAATTAACAAACCAGCACTTAAATTAACAAACCACAATTTGAAAAATCTCATTTATAGAAGAGCTTTTTAAAAGGTTTAAGAAAAGTCACTGCAGACAAAATGGTAGGTATAAATGGTCCACGTAGGATCACCAGGGCAGACTAGTTAATGTACTAAAGTAAACACAAAAAGAATAAACAAAGTCCTACTGAAGAAAGAATCCAATCTAAGATCAAAGTTTGAGATCAAATAGTCTAAGAAAAGGCAATGAATTTGGTTTGAAGAGGGCAAGAAAAAAAGGGGACATAAAAGAATACACTTAAAGAGCACTAACATCAGTATTCAGAAGGACTATTATCTTCTTTAACCTAGTTTTTTAAAAAGTCATTGCCTGAGGAGATATTTATTGATTTTAAAGAGAGAAAGGTGAGAGGAAGGGAGGGGAGGGCAGGGAGGGGGAGAGGGGGGAGGGGGAGAGAAAGATGGGGTGGTGGGGGGAGAGAGAGAGAGAAAGGGAGAGAGAGGGAGAGAGGGGGAAGGAGGGAGGCCGGTCAATGTGAGAAACATTGATCATCTGCCTCCTGCATGTGCCCCCACCAGGGATGGAACCCACAACTTAGGTATGTGCCCCGACTGGGAATCAAACCCATGACCTTTCAGTGCATGGGACAGTGCTCCAACCAATCAAGCCACACTGGCCAGGGCAGAATTATTATTGAATTATATTAATGAAAACAACATGCTTCGAGTTTGTAAACCCAAAGGAAGAACAGAGATGCTCTATTATCTCCAACTAAAGAAGGAAATGGCATCAGTAGCTAAGTTGTGACTCTTTTTAATATTTAGAGTTCTTTTTAAAGATTTTATTTATTTATTTTTAGATAAAGGGGAAGACAGAAAGAGAAACATCAATGTGTGGCCACCTCTCACATGCCCCAAACCAGGAACCTGGCCCACAACCCAGACATGTGTTCTGACTGGGAATTGAACCAGCAACCCTTTTGGTTCCGCAGGCTGGTGCTCAATCCACTGAGCCACACCAGCCAGGGCTTTATCATAATTTTTAAGAAAACAAAATATCTATGATTAAAAATAGGTAAGAATCATTCTTCTACAACGTAAAAGTGCAGTCATACACAGAAATTCACTAATTTTTGCTTTCATTAAATCAAGCATTAGACTAAATTATTCATACGTAGTTAGTTTTATGTTCTCACCTGTAACTCTTGTGATTTCCGAGCTTGTTCCTGCTTAATACTGCTAATCATACTTTCTTTCACATCATCCAATATAGAGTATAAACTATCAAATTCTTCATCTAGCTCTGCAAGTATGTTAGAAGAATTTTCCTATTTATAAACAAAACAAAATTATTTTACTATAGAGCTGTCAAACATTAAAAAATGAAGATATACTTACCAAAGGAGATAGCAGATCTATGTTATAAACTGCCTCAGCCTAACATCATAAAAATATTAATATTTGACATAAGGCTTTGGAAACACATAAATCCAAGAAGCAGGCTGTTAGTGCTGGCAGTACTATTTCGGCTGTGCTGGGAGTTAAGCAGCCTTTCATGGACTAGCCCATACTCTCCGCACCTTTTATAATACAGCTTCGCACTGCTTCCACAGGACAACGAGAAAGGTTGTTCTGAGACTGCCAACTTTGTCCGGACCTTCAGGCTCTAAGGCGGACACTAAATCAGTGATTCTCAATTTTGCGTGCACATCAGAATCACTACTGAAGCATTTTAATAAAATATTCTAGAGATTTTTATTCCATAACTCTTAAGGAATAATTCGGACATATAAGGGTGGTGCTGATTTTGTGTAAATTTTAAATCTTTCAGGTTGTCTAAAATACTACATTTACCAAAGATATAAAAAACTTACCAATTCTGTACTGGCTCCTAGAGATTTATCAACCACTGGATTTTTAGTACTAGAAGTAACCTCAGAATCCATCTACTGACTCGAATTTGTAATCAAACTCCCACATTTTATTAAATTAAATACAGATAAGTGACTTGCCCAAAACTACAAAACTAACTGATAGTGGCAGACTTAATAATAGAACATTTCTCAATGCCTCATTAAGCAAGATGCTATTATTTCAACAAGAAATAACTTAAAATATCTCTGAAATACCTAGAAAAGCCATATATATTTGCAACAATGATGAGATAGAAGAAATTTTTAATGAATCATTATTTTTAAATGAATCAAATTTTTAAATGAATCATTCATTTAAGAGAAGCAAATTGACACTAAGAGAACTAATAATACATACAATCTACTGTAAAATCATAATCCAAACTTTTGCTTATAATGTATCCAGACACCATCACACTGGAGTCTTACCAAAAGTGATGTTCGTCATTTTAGTTCATTTACAATGGTAAGAACAAGCTGTGGAAGAAGAAATGTGTAGTCTGGAAGGCGGAAGACCTAAATCAAATCCCACATCAGCCACTCAGTAACAGTGTGACCTTGGACAAGCCACTTGAAATTTCTGGACCTCAGTTTACTCATCCAAAAGAAAAGGGGCTACTCTTCTCCCCTCAATGAGCACCTGGCCTATGCTTGTTGTCTTTTCCCCACTGCCTTGTATGCCCCCATCTTCAGCGTTCAGTGTAGCTTAATTCCCTCTCTGTTTTTTCTGGATTCTAAAGTAGAGTTCCATTAATTTGCCAATCAGAAAAAAATCTTATGCTAGCTCTCCCTGATGGTCTCTTTATCCAGGTGTCAAGTGTGATGATTCTCCCACAGATCAAGAGTTTTACAATCACTAGCTTTTCTTACTTAAAGTGGATTTGTGAATTCACCAGATTTTCCAATGGAATAGTTGAAAGACAGATCATGATTAACTGACTTCAATCATAGCACATTCAGAAGTGAAAGAAATACAACGGCCGTTAAGGTTTAACAGGCCAAGGACCAGGCAATTACCAGCCAAAAACAAATGAAAACCACAGGGAAGGATTCACTGTCTGTAAGTGTCCTACAAATCTTCTGTGTTATTTTACAAAGAAATGTCACTTAAATGCATTAAGGCACATTCATGGGAAAGCACCACTAGGTTATTTTTAAGGTACCCTCCACCATCAACATTTGATTATTTACGGTACAGATTATCTTCCCGAACCCAGGGCCATTTCCTTAAGTATTCCTCTCCTTCCTCATTGGGCTTTTTATTTTTATGTTTTAGCTTCATCTACTTCTATAAGGAGACCTCTTAGCATCTACATTTTTCTTCCACTATTTGCTATAAAAGGAATGCCTAGCTTCCCAGTACTTTTGGAAAGGTACGATTTCCTCTTAGAATTAGAAAAGACAAATATAAAGTGGAAAAGGACGGAAGTGAGCACTACAGTATTCCCTAGTAACTACAATTCCAGATTTTTCCTTTTCCCTCACTACTTTGATCATTCCATGGAGAATGCAAGAACAGCAAAGAAAGCATTTCTGTTTATCTGCCATTTGAAAATCCTATTCTCACCTCTATTCGTTTATAATCTACAGCTGGTGGAGTGTTTTTATACTTCTGATTTGATCCAATAATCATTCATTATAACATATTTACACAAATGTTCAAAAAGATTCATACCTGAACTCCTTTTAGTGTTTGATTTAGTGTATCAATAAAGTTCTGAATTTCATCATTTTTATTTGCCAGGGTTGAAATAATCCTTTGTAGAGCTTCCTAGGATTAAAAAATGAAACATTATATTTAAAAAAACAGAATTATAAACTTCATTAACAATTCTTTTTTTTAATTTCTAAGATTTTATTTATTTATCTTTAGAGGGGAAGGGAAGGAGAGAGGGAGAGAAACATCAATGTATGGTTGCCTCTTGTGCATCCCCTGCCGGGAACTGGCCTGCAACCCAGGCATGTGCCTTGACTGGGAATCAAACCGGATCCTTTGGTTTGCAGGCCCACAGCTCAGTCCACTGAGTTACACCAGCCAGGGCAACAACAATTCTTTAAATAAACCCTTTACATAAGAGTATATTATATAATAAATAGGAGCAACATAAAGCTTTTTGTTCAAAATTGCCAAAGGCCTATAACTAAAACGATGGGATATGTATGTGTACTGTTTTAAAACTCCTCATTCCTAATCTACAAGTTAATCACTATCATACGTTCCACAACAAAGAGGATCACAAATGATATCAATAGTGTTATGTTAGACCACAAGGCTGTAGCGAAGAAATAGAACCAAACCTTAAACACTGCAAAAACAAACAGAAACTTCCAATACAACATCAGGGTATCAGGAAGAAAAGCAAAGAGACACTGAAATTTGACATTTTACTTATTCATAAAAATAAAAAATTTTTAGAAATATGAAATGAGATAATAAATGTACAGCTTAAACTACAAAATTCATGGTAATATTTACAGATGTTATAGAAGCATACTAAACAAGGTAAATAATTTTGGTAGCAAATACCTCAGACTTCCTGATAATGCTCCCTATTTAAATAAAATACTTGGTGATTTAATTTTCTCACACATTCGAGTTCAGTACTATCCAATACAATTGTCTGCGTTGATGGAGATGTCCTCATACGTGCTGTCCAACATGTTACTCATTAGCCACATGAAGCTAATGTGCTTTTGAAATATGGAGAGAGCAAGTGAGGACCTAAATTTATTTTTTAACTCTAATCTCACTTCCCTGTGTAACAAGTACTGTCATATCGGACAGCTCAGGTCTAGTTGTTTAATAACTGTCCCTGGGTAGGAACAGCAAAACCCAAACGAGGTACTTGTATTCTCAGTAAAAATCAAATGCAAGTACTCTTACTTTATAATTTTCCCAGACACACAAGGTTTTTATCTGTAAGCACCTACAACTATAAATATTTTAACAATTTCCTATAAGATTTTGTATGATAAAAGTTCTCCTCAAAATATAATTGAATATTGATAAAAAGCTGCAAAAATAATCTGAAAAAGGAGTAACACTTTATATAAATGTTCATAAAGCATTATGGTAGTGGCAAATTAAAAAGAATTACAACAGTTCTCATTTAATTCCCCCAACAAGCCCTGCAGATAAGTAGGCCTTACCATCATCCCTGGGCTGCCTATACCATTTCTTCCCATCCTCACCACTGTATTTTAGCACAGTAAAACAATGAAGTTATGCTATGAGAGAAGCCCCACACCAAGAGTTAGCTGTTAACCTGTTGGTGTAAGTCCCAGAAACCTGTGCACCAAGATTTGAGTATAAAGACAAACCAGAGATTGGAGCCAGGACTTGCGGGAGGGGTGGGCACAGTTGGAGAGATGCAGAAAAGGAGAGCAGAGGACGTAGGAGTCTTCCAAGTATTGGTGTAAGATCGGGTCTCTGCGTATTTAAAAAACGGCACAATGAAGCAGTAAAAATGAGTCAGCCATCCTCAGACTGTGTGTAGTAAGCTTCCACTGAGATGGGCTCTTTCTGGCTCAAGGACTGCCTCCCCTTCTATCCCTAATGGCAGGGTTACATCCCTGTGTTACAAAGAGAAAATGAAGATTCAACCAGCTGCCCAAAATGATACTGCTAATAAGGTAAAGATCATTCTAAGTCTGTCTACAAGGCCCATGCTCTTTACTGCTTTACAATATTTCCTCCTCTAACCAATTTGCCCATCATATGAAATAGCCATACAATAAATTATATTCTTTTAAATATTTGGGCTCTGGCCAGGTATAGCTCAGTTGGTTGGAATTTTGTTCTCACCCACCAAGACTCAATCTCCCATCAAGGCGCATACCAGAAGCAACCAATGAGTGCACAAATAATCTCTCCTAAATCCCAATCTCTCCTAAAAATCAATAAACAAAAAAACATAAACATAAAGAATACACAGGAAAAAGAGGGAAAAAAGCAAACAACTGACAATGTCTGCTGTCAGCAACATCCTTCCTCCGTCCTCTCCACCTTCATTCACTATTCCTGCAATACGTACCTTTTCCTGGGAACAGCAACCCCGATGAATGTGAATGAGCTCCTGTACCACAGTTTAAGTGAAACTATCAAATTCTAAGTGCCAACATTCTAAAAAGGGGCAAATGTCTTATTTGTTTCAATGGTTTCTTTGAATATGCACATTTCATCAGGTAAAGAAACCTTCGAGATTTTATCTTAAAAGCACTTAAGGACATAACCAAAAGGTTTGAGCATCAAACAAAGCCACCTATCCATAACACATCCTGTACACAAGTGTCCCAGAAACTCAATATAAACAAAATCCCTCTGTTTATTGCTAGGAGATAATGCTGTGGTTTTCTGTATCCAACAGTATGCCTTACATACCCAAGGCAATTATGTTTTCTTCCTCTACTCAAACAGAGCATCTGTTGCTAACACAACAGTGAAGTCCAAGTTATTTCCACAGACAAAAAAAGCAGCTGGCCAACTAATCCATCTGCTGACCAAGCTTCTGTAAGACTGTCCAGTAATTTAACCTCCATTGTCAGACTGCATGAGTCAGAACTTCCAATGCTCTTTCAATCAGGATGTAACAACTCTTCTTTCACACCACCATTTGAAATCACTTACCACAGATATAAGAACAGAAAACATACTTTAAAACTTAAGGACAGAGATAAAAAATAGCTAGACTAGGTTAGAAAAGTAGTTGCATAAATTAGCAACAAAAGTAGAAAGTTAAAGTTGGGATTATGAAATTAGTAACAACAGCTGACAGTACTCATGTGTGCCAGGCACCAAATGATTTTTAAAAATTAGTATGATCCTCACAATAACCCTTGGAGATGAGTACAATTTTTCCTCTATTTTATAGATGAGGAAACAGAGACACACAGCACATCACCCACCCTCATTCAGCTCGTAAACAGCAGGACAGGAGACCTGGCTCCAAAGTCATCCTCTCACTAATGTGAAGCCCGAATCCCAATGCCTTACAAAAGGTGTATGTATATTCAAGCCATCTTCACCCTTTGCCACCTGCAGTACCTCACCATCTTCCTTACAGTGACCAAGGTCCCGTCCCTGCTACTACTTTTACCATAACATTCTATAATGGGAAAGAAAAATCATGCCAGCGATGTATTACTTACTGTCTTCTTTAAGGAGAATAGATATCCAGTTTAGTTCATTATTAGTTGAAGTACAGGGTAGGGCAAAAGTAGGTTTACAGTTGTAAATATGCAAAACTGACTTTATTCTTATATTACTTAATACTGTATTATTTCCCATTCAAACAAGTATAAACTTAATTTTGCCCCATCCTGTATATGACTGATTCTGCAGTAACGCATGATAGCAATGCAATTATTAACACCAGACACTCATTTTAAGCTACACAACAAAAGATCTTTGAATTAAAAATATTATCTAGTACCACCAATGGCATTTAACACATTTTCTGATAGTGATACACTGATTATCAAAATCATCACAAATGAGCGATTTTAGTACCAGTAAGAAAGAGCAATTAATTCTTTGCTTCCTCTGGGGAAACTGCACATGGTGTGTGTTGGTGCTCATCTACATCATTTGGCAGGAGACCAAGTAAGTTCAAATCTTTGAACTTATGACCAGGGCTAGTGATATGATCCTGCAGGGGACATCCTTCTCGAGTCCTCATGAAAGGGAGGGATAATGTGTGCCCTGGCAAAATAAGATTACCCATATTACAATACTTTTTAAAATTATATTTTATAGCAGAGTATTTTCGTTCTTATTTTTATAAACTTTAAGAACACTGCGTTTTCATAATGAATTTTTACCTGATTTTTACAATAACCCTACGAAATATTCATACTTTCACTGCATAGATGAGAAAAATAGATTAATCAGACTTAAGTGACTGGCTCCATATCAGAGTCAGGAAATAGCAGCATGGAACCCAAGTCTCTGGACTCCAAATCTTTGCCCTTCCATTTGCCCTGAGCTAATAATATCCATTCAGATATCATGTGACTTTCATCTAAAAAAGTTAAAGAAGCTGTGAAATGTTTTACAAATTTAGGCAGAGATGTTTTAAATGTGTACATATTCAAAACTCACAAAATGCAGTTTTTTTAAATGTCTGATAGTCACATAAGTAAAAGCTGAGTTCTTACCCAACTGAGTTTCAAGATACAATGAAATCATGCGTACTTGTGTTAAATACTAGAACAGCCAGCTCCTCAAGGCAGTGAATCCAGGCAAATTATAGAAAACATTGTCCTAATATGTCTTTCCAGTGCTTTCTATCTAACAACAGAAAAGAATGGCCTCTTGGATATGCCCTTGTTTTTCCCTGCTAAATAATTCATAGTGCTGTTTCCTTACTGTATATATTTCAATTACTATCATCTAACAAAGATGAAAAGAGGGTGGTTGATTTCTATGTAGGGATTGTGGCTGAATATTAATAACTCACTTCTAATTGTACTGAAAACTGCCTATGCTCGCTCAAATTTTTTTTTAATTGAAACGGCTAGGTCTCTATATCGTTTCCTTAATATGTTCGGAAAGTGTAAAATATGCCACAATGACCACTAAGGGAACTAGGATCAGCAACACCGAACTGGTCACAGAGGGTGCGACCGCTGCCCTGACAACTCTTAAGTTTTCTCCCCCTTCAACCAACACTACTAAACACTGAGATCGGCGGAAGAAGCAGCCCCGAGGGGGTGGGGCGGCGCTAAGGAGATTAGGCTGCCCATCTAAAAATGCAGGCATTGTGCCAAGAGCCTTAGGACCAGGCAGGGTCGAGGCGAGAGCACCGGCTCTGGCGTCAGCAGGCGGACCCCCTGTGCCTCGGCTTCCCCACCTGCTGAGGTGGGGCGAACCCTCACGAGCACTCTGGGAGGCTCCAAGAATCCCAGGGCGCACAGCGCTGCAAAAAATCATTTCATAGGGACGGCTCGGTATTTATCTTGAGGAGCCGGGGCCCAGGACCAGGTGTAAGGCAGAGGCCAGCCCGGGTCACCGGGCGCGGTCCCCGCAGCCCGGCGTGCCCACTTCCCTCCCTCTGGGAAGGAGAGGATGGCCGGATGGCCTTGCCCCCGCCGCTACGGTCTCGCCGGGCCCTGCAACCCCAGTGCGCCCACCGCCCAGCCCTGGGGGCGCCCCGCCCACCCCACCCCCGCCCGGCCCCGGTGTGCCACCGCCCCCTCCCCGCTTACTTTCTGGGAGTCCATGGCTAGGGGTTAAGCCCTCTGGGCCCGAAAACGCGTAGGAGAACCGTGAGAGGACGCAGAAGGAGGTGGGGCACGCCAAGACCGCTACGCCGGCCGCCGTCGCCTCAGTCCTTGCGCGAAGCGGTGCCTCCCGGCCCCACCCGGTCCGCGCCCAGCCCGCGCGCGCGCCGTAGTCGCGCCGCGGTTGCCTGGGTGAAAGGGCGGCTCGCAGAGGGGAGGGGGCGAGAAGCGCCCCGAGCATGCGCGCTGCCGCGGTACTTGTCCGGGTCTGGGGTATCAGGTGCTGCGAGCCAGCGGCAGCGCAGAGAGGGTGTGTGCCCTCCCGTCCTGCGGGACCTTTGCAATAGCTTCTCCTTTTCCCCCCATCGTATTTCTTCAGCTCACACGGTCGCTGCAGGCCTCGGAATGGACCACTAGGCATCCAGCCGCCGGCCGGTGCGCGAGGCACGGGAAGGAAAGCTCTGGCCCGGGACTTACAGAGTCCCCCCCCTTTCCATCGTGCAGCTATCGCACCTCCCCGCACTGGCGCTAGAGGAGCAGCCAGACTAGCCGAGGCCCGGCTGATGGGGACCTGGTGGAAATATGGGGAAGGTCCGTAGGGACGAGGCTGAAATATAGGTAGACCTTTCCCTTTCCCTGGGCACCTTGCTATCTGTGATTTTGAGCAGGTCATTCTTCCTGAGCCTGTTCCACCTTAGGTAAAATAAGAAATAATGCTGACTTTGCAGAGCATCGTGAGGTTAGATAACGTATTTGAAGGGCCCAGTACACTTAACGGTCAGTAACATATAGTTAGTGGCAGGGCGCTATTACCTTCTCAGCCTGGACCGGGGCGGGGGTGGGGGGGCCCGCACAATGCAGACTGTAGAAAACTTGGGAAGGCAGGCTTGAAAATGTTCTTCCCCAAGGCCTCATCCTGCATTTTGGTGACTCTGACAGGCTCAGACAAGTTCAACGGGCAATCATGTTAAGATGAATGATCAAGAGGGAAATATACATCGAGTACTTGTTAGGTACCAGTTCTAGGAACTGAGAATTCAGCAGTGAGGAGGCCCTTCTCTTTCTTCTAGAGCTTATAGTCTACTATGTGAGGTTGACTGCTGCTGCCCACCCGTCACCATTTAAATAGATATACGTCAGGTAGTTTGAGGTGCTATAGAAAAAAATTTACATGGGGTAAAATGGACTCGAAATTTCGAGGGCTCCATTTTCCATGGGAAAGTCAGGGAAGACCTCTCAGGAGAGACCTGAGTGAAGTGAGAAAATGAACCAAGCTCTGGAGAGCATTCTAGACAGAAGGAACAGCAAATGCAAAGGCCCTAAGTGGGCATGAGCTTTATGTTTAAGAAACAGCATTCATCCTCCAAGGCTGTAACTGTCTCTGTACATGGGTCTCCCTGACTACACTGTGGTTTCCTTGATTGTGGAGATTTCTTTTACTCACCTCTGTCTCCCCAGTACAGACAGGGCCTGGCATCTAGAATGCACTCAATCCTTTCTTAACTGAACAGACATGTGTAGGAAATGGGATAAAAGGAACAAAAGGGAAAACAGGAACTTGACTTAGGCTAGGTGGGTAGGGCTTGAAGGTCAGGGTCCAGGAAGGGCCTAGAAACACAATTTTGTTCCTGTAGCTGAAAGGAATGATGGAATGAAGTATTGCAGAGAGATGTTGCCTCTCTTGGTACCCAGGGAAAAGGTTCCTATCGAAGCTGTCCCAATTCCAGGAGTAGTGAGAGCAGCCAGGCACCCAGCCACTAGCCCACTGCTGCAGCCAAAAGACCACTCTGCACTGTGCAAACTCGGCAGCTGAGTCAGTTTCCTGTGAAGGATAAATGCAGCCTGAGGACTGGAGAACATCAGAGGTCAAACCACTCTCTTGGAAGTTCCTCTGCTTTGGCCCTGCCTGCCACTTTCTGACCACCACTAAGGGGAAGAAACAGCATCAGTGCTGTCTTTGGTTCCTTTGCTGCAGGAGCTTCACCTCACTACTGTCAGAGGGCAACTCCTGGGCACTTTATGACTGATGGGCATAAAGAGGCAGAAGGAGGCATTGGAGACAGTGAGTCGCAGCTGAAATGTGATCACCAGATTCTGTCACAAGCTCAATCCCAGGAGCTCACTCCTGGTGCTGGTGTCCTTCTTCCCCTGTTCTTTTCCTGCCGCCCAATCAGCAGCCTGCAGCTTTTAATAAGAGCTCTACCCTATTTGACTTTTGCCCTTGCCAGATCTCTGTCTCTGTAGCCAGCCTGGTTCCCCTGCCCAGCTTATCCTGGCCTCCCGTTTCCCCTCATTTCCATCCAGGAATAGCCAGTCTCTTCCAGCTGTGACTTCCCTTCCCCAGCCCATATAGGCACTCAGTCATGTAGCCTACACCCCCAGTGCACTCTCGCTGCTCCTGGCTTATGGGCAAGTCCATTGGCCTTTTCCACACTTACCTTCTTACAGCCAAGTTCGTTCAGAAAAGTTCATAAATAGCTTTACTGATACACTAAAGCCATTCTCAAATGTAATCCTGGAACCAGCTGCATCAGCACCAGCTGGTAACTTGTTACAAGTACATTCCCAGGCTTTATCCCCGGACCACCTAAACCAGAAACTGGGGGAGCAGGGTCCTATAATTCTGTCTTAACAAGTCCTCCAGTTAAGAACAATTGAACTAAGAGCACAGTTACTTAAAAATTTCAAAAAAGGAACCACGAGGCACAAAAGCAGATGACATTTCACCTCTCAGGTTTCTGATTCTGAGATAAATTAGGAAAGCTGCAGGCTGGGCATGGCAAATGTAGAGTCTGGCGAAACTGTCTCGTTCAGAACCAGGTTCTCTGTCTTCTCTTGCCAAACATTGCTTGTAGCTGAAAGTTCCTTTGTAGATTCTGAGACTCCCCCATTTCTTGAGAGAGAAAGTTCCTTCCCTTCTGGAGTCAGCGGTCTGGATCTCAATCCTGACACTGCTGCTTACCATCTGTGCAGACTGCAGTGAGTCATTTCACCTTGCTAAGCCTCAATTTCCCATCTGTAATATAGCAATCATAAAATAATTTCCCCATAGGTTTGTTGTGAGGATTAAAGTAGATCACGTATGCAAAACGTCTGGTTTAGCACGCATTTAACAAACAGTAACTGTTACTGTTATTACTCCCCTGCACATAATTTCCTTCTGTGCTGCTCGTGCATGGCTTTCTCCCTCTCTGTCTTCAGGGCCTTAGAAGTCATGTTCCCACCTCTCACTCCCTGTCTGCACTGTTCTACTTGTTTTTACCGAAGCACAATCACTGTCCTGATCCTGCTCTTTGTCAAAGTCCAACATCTTCGCCTGCTGCTCCCTGTTAATATCTGGCCTGAGTCAGCATACACTCCCTAGCCTGGGAAAACCTTGAGCTGCTCTAAGCCTCCATTTTTTCAGCTGTGAAATAAGCATCATAACAGTACCACCTACAAGGGACGTTGAGTGGATGAAATGAGACGGTCCATGTTACGTGGTTAGCACAGTATGGGGCATGTAATGAGCATTAAAAAATATGTAGTTACTTTCTCTTCCCGACCATAGAAACCTCACTCTTTTTTCCCCCTGCTCCCTTCTGACTGAAAACAAACTCACTGAAAAGCTCTGAAACTCCTTGGAACTCGGAGTACTAATTTCTGATCCTAGGAATTTATTATAGACTTTTAAATTCTCATATTAGGGAAAGGACGGTTCTGCTCTAATGTGAGCTGGTGTTCTGTGCCCTGGTCTAGCTCCATACTGACAAAGATCTAGAAACCAAGTGAGGAGACACATTCAAATACCTGTAAGTATTTAGCCTGGGGAGGGATAACTTGGGGAGACATGATCATTCTATTCAAATCTTTCCAGAGCTTTTGCATGGAAGAGAGAGCTGGCTTGTTCTCTAGCATCCCAGAGGTAGAATTAGACCCAATTAACAGAAGCTGTAGGGATATAGATTTCCTCTCAGCAAAAGTCCAACTTTCTAACACAGCCATACAGAACTGGACTCTGTTTGGTTAATGAGGTCCCCATCAGTGGAGGTATTCAAGCAGAGGCTGGGCATTTGCTTGGCAGAGCTGTACCAGGGGAATCAGGCCATGCATGGAAGGTAGCTGGCAGTGATAACCTTTGACATCTTTCTGAAGCCTAAGCTTCTATCATTCTGCGAACTGGAGACCAATAACTATTCATTCCCTTCCTGACTTAGCTTTGCAATTGCACTCATCTTTGGAATGCACTCTGAATTTCTGCTCCCCAACCCCACTTGCATATGATTTTTTGCAGGAGGCCCTATTCCTTCCTGAAAGGGGACATGAGAGAGGCAGTGAACTAAAACCTGTAGCCATTGTGATGTTACTATGTCATGATACTTTCTCTGTGTTCGAGGGCCTGTTTTATGCTAGGCACTGGAGACTGAAAGAAGTGAGGTCTGGATTTTCCATCAGATCCTGCCTTGGATCTAGAAATGCTTCTTGGTCAGAGAATGACCAAGGACAAAGTAAATTTATCTGCCTGTTAATCTCCTCCTTGTGAAAGGATGCTGGCCTCCAGCCCCTCTCCAGCACAGAGGTACAGACTCAGTGTTGCTAGTGAGAACAGGGTATGGGCCCCACTGAGACTGGGTAATTGATACTGGGGAGATACAAGGCCTTAGTGAATTGACTGTGCTTGTGTTTCATGGGCTGAGCACCCATCCTCTGGTTCCCGAATATCTGATTTCAAATACTAAGTCTACCACTTACCAGTCATGCTGCGTTAACCTCTCTGCACCTCAGTTTTCTTAGCTGTAAAATGAAAGTCTTAATGGTACCCACTTGAAAGGGTTGTCATGAAGATAAATGACAATGTAAAGTGCTTCAAAGAATGCCTGAGATATAGAAAGTACATAATATGTGTCAGTTATGTAATATTATTTTCTAAAGTAAATAAATCATCTCCTGCGTGCAATGCCAGGAAGCAATGGTGGCTGTGAGCCCTCTGATACTGTGGTGATTGCTGTAAGGTTCAGATGGTGCTATGGCCACGCTTCCCAGGGGAGTGAGACTCTTGCAGTCCACCTCTCACTTTGAAGGTCAGTCTGAACTTTTCTCTAGAGGGAAGGTGGGGACAGGACTTTTGCAGAAAAGGTTAAAGTTTAAGACAAGCAGATGAGAAGGGAAGATGGGACCCTGGGCAAAGGTGGGAA